GCCAATAGGGGTGCTGCTGTTGTTTGCATTAGTCACTTTACTATACCGTTACCTCACTTGCATAGCTGTAGCTCTCTCCATTCGCAAGAATTTTCCAGTTAAAAGGACCTGTATAATCTGTGAAACAGTGACACCAGGAATGCAAAGTGTCATTCATAAAGCTATGCTTAAATGTTATCTTTATTTTATTGCTTAAGGTGGTCATTTTGAACAAGTTCTCTAACAAAATAAAGCTTACATTTTTGTATCAATTTCTACAACTTTGTCTTTATCACATCCACCACAACAGAAAACTGATTGTTTAGAGTATTTGATGGCTTGTTCTGTTTTCCTTATAGAATATTGATAATGTTTGTTACCAAATAAATAAAAACACCTGTATTATAAGTAAATAATTTTTATTTCTTTTACTGGTTTTTGTGGTATTTTGTATGTAGTTTTGTTATATTTATTCTTTACAGTAAAGAGATTATTTGTACGTAGTACTAAATTGTCTTAAATTGCTTTCCTTTGGTTATTTTAACACTGGAACAAGCATGCACAATATACACACACTTGTGCAATGTTGGAAAGATCTCTCTTGCCCTGGACAGATTTTTAAGGGACATCCCATATATTGCAGCTATCAAAATTTGTTAGTATTATGACTCTATTTTTCAAAATAAAATAAATACAATAAATTTAAGTAAAACAGAAGTTTAGATGAAGGCTAAAATGTTTCAATATATATATTTCACATACTATTAAAAATGAACAATTAAATATATGAATATGATACACACTTTTCAGTAAAAAGATTTCACTTTTAGTATAATGTTTAGGACAATGTCATTAAATTACAAAATTTTATATATGATATGATTATCTGAAAATCAAGTAAAAAGTACAGTGGTACCTCAGGATACGAAATTAATCCGTTCCGAAACTGAGATCATATCATGAAAATGTCGTAAGGTGAATCATTTTTCCCCATATGATTACATGTAAAACTAAATAATTCGTTCCAACATGAAAAACACACTCAAATTAAAGCTAAGTAGTACATTAAAAAAATAAATAAATATAGTAAGGAAACCACTGAAAAATGCGTTTTGTAGTTGTAAATGTATAAATAACCATAATATAATAATTGATTAAAAAAATGTAGTTTTATTTGCACTTTACCTTCAAGGATAGACAACGGTGGAAGTGTAAACTGGTGGCAGAGGAGAGGGAGAAGAGAAATAATACTAAAACTTAACTTACATAACATAATGTAACAATAACTTAAAAATAACTTAGAAAAGATAAAAAAATTAGTGTTGTTTTATACATATTTTTTAAATTTTTATTCACTTTTTTTTTGCTTTCTTTCCTTCACTTCCACCAGCACTTTCACAAAATATCTATCCAAAGAGGTTTGGCTTTGCCTACTTTTTAAAATGTTTCTAAAATAACTTAGGCAAATGTCATTACTCTGAGCAGCAATACGGCCAGTGTGAATCTTTTTGGGATGTTTCTTTTCAATAAAATCAGTCACTTTCTGATAATACCTCGAGATTTCCTTCATCGAGCAAGATCCTTCCACAACGAAGCAAACGCGCGGACTGAGACCAATGAACAGAAGTGAATAAAAAATGCCGCTGCAAACTAATGTAACATCGTATGGCGAGTTTTTGTTCGTATAGTGGAGCAAAAATATGTTCAAATTTCATGTCATATCCTGAAAATTTCGTATGCTGGGGCATTCGTATCCTGAGGTACAGTACCACTATAAAGAACACACACATTTATTTTTTACTTTCAGGAATCATGTCAAGCATAACAAAACATATCAATAGTTTCTGCTTTTGCAGCTAAGATTTCATTTAATTATTAGAATAGTAAAATTAATTATTTATAAATAGATACAAATTACAGTACAAGTAATATAATTTTTTTAATGTAAGGCAAAATCAATTAAACAAGAGAAATACAAAAATTATATCTTTTTGTTACTATTTAGTATATTGAACAATTTAATTTATTTCTTATGAACAGTGATAAAAATGACTATTTTTGTTTCTTTATAAAGCATCTCCAACTCATTTGCAGAATAAAATCTTTGATAATTTCAGTTGGTATTTAAAAAAATTTATGCAAATAGAATATTAATTCAATTACTCTTCATTCATTCAATAGTTAGTAATTTTGTCAAATTACAAAAGCCTTAGACACACAACTGTATCAGCATTACAGAAAATGTGCAGCTAAGCCTTTTGTCACATATATAGACATCCAAAACCAATGTTCTTATTAATTAGGCCAAACAATTTTCTTAATGTATTTAGCCAGTTTTCTGCTACTATTAATAATTAAATTATTAAGAAATTTGGTATTAGAGGTAAGCGTTAGGCACAATCTCTTATTAAATTTAATAATTATAATAAATGAATATTTTATTAAATAATTTAGAATGTTCTGGAAGAAAACTGGAACTTGAACCTGTAACTCCTACTTACTGTATGAATGCATTGCTGGTTATGCTACCCAGGTTTCAAACAATTCCTTGCTTCCAGACATTTAATTATCAATATAATTATCCACAGTTACAGCACTAACTGGAGATGACTCCTATGCCCATGGCCTATATACCCATCCACTATGGCACTCAGCCAGCTATTGCTTTACCTTGGCATGGTGTATATATGTTACAGTCAAAACCCGTTTTTAGTTAGAACACGTTTTAACTAGTTGAAACTAGTTTATACTGAATGTCTTTGTTAAAACCCATTTTGTCTAGTTGAAACTAGTTTATACTGAATGTCTTTGTTAAAACCCGTTTTGTCTAGTTAAAACTAGTTTTAACTCAAATTCATTTTTGACTAGCAGTAAATTCTAGTTTTAACTAAACAAAACCGGTTTTGTCTAGTTAATTTACTGCTGTACATGTTTTGACTTTAGATAAAACTAGTTTTAACTTTTAACATTAGTTAAAACTAATTTTAGCTACATAAATATGTTTGGGGGAAATAAAGTTATGTATAGTGATTCGGCGGAAGATGCCTAACATTTTGCTTATGAAGAAAATTACAGCGCTAATTTGAGTTTAGGAGCCCTCTAATGAAAATATCATATTCTGGAGTATGTCTTTCAAATAAAAGTTTGGAGTTTATTTTAAAAAATTCTATACTGTGTTTGCAATGACGACTTTTTCACTGTCTGGCATTTTAAGCATCTCACCCCAAGTATCTGGGTGAGATGCCAAATGCCATTAGGGTAAGATAACAAATATAATTGCTTAAAATTAATTTTTGAATTTCTTAACCAAATTTAATTTATTGCATATGTAGTACAAAGTACTTCATAGTAAGTATAACAGCACAGTATAAGTATTGTTAAGTTTCCGCCCGTTCTAACGTGTTCTATAGCTAGCTGAAAGCTTTTTTCAGTCCAAAAACTTTTTTGAGAAGTCCTTATATAATTTCTATGCATATCCTGCAATAAAACGAGAAAACAAAAGTTTATTAAAAATAGGCATATTGGAAATCAATTAACAAAAAATAGGCACGTTACCCCAAGAAAAATGTGGCATATTTTCCATTTGTTGGGGTAAGATGCCTAGTAGAGTCACATGCTCCAGCATGTCCGATCGGGATCGGCGGTAGCTGACAATGGAAACTTTAGAACCTTAACTACATCACACATTAATTGTTTTTAGCAATTTTTAATAAATTCCATTTTAACTTTTAGTTTAAAATTATTCTAGAAACATTTCACAACAAAAACTTCGTTCTTATCTAGCTTTTATTCTTCTCGGATGTAGAAAATGAAGTAACGGTAGCCAACTACAGCTTTCCGCACTCAATATTGGCCCAACGATTCATCATACAAATACATGACAATATGTGACGTCACCGTTTGAAAATATCAAAAATTAGGCATCTTCCCCCGCTTACCATCTTACCCCGAATCACTCTATGCGTTGCAGTCAAACCAGTTTTTAGTTAGGATGCGTTTTAACTAGTTAAAACTAGTTTATACTGGATGTCTTTGTTAAAACCCGTTTTGTCTAGTTAAAACTAGAATTTACTGCTAGTCAAAAATGAATTTGAGTTAAAACTAGTTTTAACTAGACAAAACGGGTTTTAACAAAGACATTCAGTATAAACTAGTTTCAACTAGTTAAAACGTGTTCTAACTAAAAACGGGTTTTGACTGTAACATATATACATACAATTAACATCCTAAACCAGGTGTTATTAATTAGAGCCAAAAGATTTCTGTAACATATCACACTATTTTTCTGCTACTATTAATAATTAAATCATTGAGTAATTTGGGAATTACTTAGTAATTTACTCCAAGTAAATTATAAAGTAATAATATATATAAATTATTAATAATCTGTTTATATATGTATATACACCATGCCGAAGTAAAGCGATAGCTCGCTGAATGCCATAGTGGACGAGTATATAAGCCATGGGCATAGGAGTTGACCCCAGTCGGCTCAATGAGTAACTGTGGATGGTTATATAGATACAGTAGAGCGTTATTTATCTGAAAGTCGGTTATCCGAAAGCATTCTAGTCGGCAAATTTAAATTTTCGCTAGTGCTGTGGCGCTACAATCTTGGGTTGTGTATTTTAGCTGGCAGCACTGGCACTTTTGTGTGGTGTTTTTCTGAGGACTGTGCATCATGCTGAATCGAAAATTTTTGATATTAGATCAACTTCTAAAGTATCTTTTTTTTTTGGTTTTTATATTTTTCAATATATTTATTTTATTTGTACAAAATAAAAAAATAATTTTTAATGATACAATAGCCATGATTATTATTTTAAAAAGTTTTCGTTAGGCTTAACATTGACAAGAATTCAACGCGAAGCGACATGCAATGGAGAAAAATTTCAACATGGGATAGGTTAATATATTTTTCATACATAATCGGTTATCTGAAAAATAAGTTATCCGAACAACCCCAGTCGATTCGGATAAACGACGCTCTACTGTAATTAAATATATCTGGAAGTGAAGAATCACTCATGGTCAGGATAGCATAACTGGCCATGTAGCTCCATGGTAAGCAAAGTTGCAGGTTTGAGTCCCACTCCAAGCCTATTCTTTTCTTCCAGAATATTCTAAATTATTTAATAAAATATTAATTTATTATAATTATTAAATTTAATAAGAGATTGCACCTCTAATACCAAATAACTTAATAATTTAATTATTAATAGTAGCAGAAAAATAGCCCAATACATTACAGCAATTGTTTGGCTCTAACCTTTTGTAACTAGTGTTATTTATATTTTATTGATATTATACAAATTATTCAACCATATAATTAAGATTTGATATAAATTTTTTTATTTGTTTGTTTCAGATTTTTTAAACTAAATTATTACTTTGTTTAGATAAATTTTCTTAGATAAATGTGGTATAATTTCAATATTAGTTGATTTTGGCTTAAATATATTACTGGAATTCACTTGTTACTCTAACAACAGCCTGGTAATTACTGAAAAGTGTGCCAACCATGATCATAATAAAAACTATCCACTAACTACATGTAATTTGCTGATTTCTTGATTCTCTGCATGTGTTGTATTGCTGCTTTTGGTTTCTAAGATGCAGGACAATATTTTTAAAGAAGTTTATAAGGGGAAAAATATATCTTATAACCAACAAATACAGTATATTTTTGGAAGTATTTATGAAATTTGGAATGATCAAAATTTAATTTTTGTACATATAACTAGACAAACATTTTGTAAAACATTTGTTTTATAATCCAATGTACGATTATTTTAAAATATAAATTAACTGCTTAACACTTCTTTCAATAAAATCTTTTCCTTTATGGAATGTGTAATTATTTCTCATGAGAAACTGAAAATCAATAAAGTTCTTAGTAATTGAATCTAAATAAGATAGTGCTGAAAGTAGAAATCTATGTAAATAATATTTGTTTGAGTAAAATGTAATAGCAAAATACAACTAATTTAAAAAGTATTAAGAATTTTTTAAAAACAACTTGAAATTGTTTTAGAAATTTTTCTGTGCTTTCATTTTTATTAGATAAATACAGAACATTTAAAACAAAATTTCAAATGAAGATTTTTACTTTCTGATTTTGAAATAAAGTAAATAACATCTACTAATTCAATAAAAATAATTCTTATCAATAATAAAAATACAAAGTCCTTTAAAATTAAATAAATGATGCTTCTCGATAATTACATATTTTAAAATAAAGACAACATATCTTTGTAGTAAACATCAAATAATTTTCAATCAAAAAGCTTAATACAATATTTTTAGAAATATTACAAAAATTATTTATATACTATATTAAAAATTAAATGAAACTTATTATTATTTCTTACCAATCTCAAATCATTTGGTAATGGTGGCTCTTTTGACAATAAATCTTCAGGATCTGGTAAATCAGTTAATAAGCTGTTTTTCAAGCAAGAACGATCAAAATATTGAGCAGCATTATTCATTCTTTGTTTATATAAATGCGCCCTATCTAAATATTCATGCTGTTCTAAATGATGGGTGCTCATTGCAGAAACATCTATTACATTGCTGGAAATAAAAAATATATATATATGCTGTGAATAAAAACCAAAAAATATTAAAAACTAAAAAATAAATTTATTTTATCTTCAAATAAACTTGTGTATATTTTGTATAATTTATACAAAAAACTTAAAATTCCAATACATGAGATTTAAAACAGTAATGTAAAGATATCTGAAAGCTTACAAAATTCTTTGTTAAATCTTAAATTTGAAATTTTGCAAAAGTGAAAATTCATACATTATTTTATATCAATATGAAATATTTCTCTGTAGTTAAACAAATATAAAATATGAAAATGTTGGTAAAAATAAACCAGTAAGTGTCCTTTCAGTAATTATTAGCAAGAATTTGCAGTTAGTAAGTAATATAAACATGTATTGGTTAAAAAAATCCAAAAATGCTTTAATAGAGTTTTCTTGTGCAGTAAATATTTTAAGTGTTTTTCAAGCAATATTAGTTATAAGTAATATTGCTTATTAATATTGCTGGTTATGTTACCCAGATTTCGAACAATTCTTTGCTTCCAGACAAGTACAGTCCTTCTCTGGACCTCTCATATATAGGTAATATATCTGTTAAACATTCTAAATTATACCACAACTGAAACATCTTTAAAACTTTGGATATTAAATGTATATAAGAACACTAATAAAAGACAAAAAAAATTAATTGAAATTTACATAAAAGCATATTTATGAAATAGACTAAGACTTCATAGCATTTTCATGCAACTGAGAAATACATTGTGCTTAAAACATAATATATACACATAGTCAAACTTGGTTAATTCAAAATAATTATTACATAGTACAGCTTAATTAACACAGAGCAAATTGCTGGTGAAAGTGGAAAACAGGGTGAACAACACATTGTTTCCAACAAATTTTACCATTTCACAAATTGCTTAGAAGTTCAGAACTGTCAAACTTTTTCTCTAGTGAAAAAATTTCATCACCTATCACAGTACCATTTGTTGTCAGATGTTTCTAGTAATTTTTAAGATGGTTACAAAATCATCACACCATAGAGATGATGTCAAAATTAATATAATATTCTTGCAATTCATATCTTTTAAACATTTCACTCGACAAATGTTAAAATGAATACAGAAAGCAGAGAATGAATTCAATACAGAAAGCAGAAAATGAATTCAAAACTGGTTCATTTTTTACCAGTTTTGAATTCATTTTCTGCTTTCTGTATTGGCTTTTCACTATTCACTGAATGTGAACTAAGCTATCCAGTTTTAAATTTCCAAACTAGTAATTTTTGAAATATGAGGTTACTTCAGCTACAAATTATCCAAAAATTAGAAAAAAATTGAACTGAACAGGTAATTTATACTGTACATTAATAGCAAACTCAAGAAAAATTTGTAAAACTCAAATTAACAAAGTTTGACTGTACTTTAAATATATAATAAGCCTTAAATATTCTTATATGAAAATTCAATAAAGCATTTTATGATTTTTTTTAGTTTTAAATATTTTGTATTTTAGAATTACAGTGGGTGATCGGTTAACGAACAGATCAGTTAATGAACAAATTGGATAACGAACACTTTCGCAAAAGATTTTTATAATCGGACAACAAATACATGTTCGGATAACAAACACTTCACTGAATAAACACAAGAAGCGATGTAAAACAATGAATACCGATTGGTCTTCCTTTGTCTTCAGGCAACAATTTGAAACTTTTCAGAGCGCAGGAGACGTCGACATCAACGTTCTACCCAGTATATACCAATCAGATAGTATTCCCCAAACTTTGAAACTCTCCCTTGTAATTCCAGCCTTTTGTATTTCTGACAGAAACAATTATTTTACGTTTTCTTCTGAAAATGCAGATTTATGCCAATATCTGGTATTAAAGATCTTTTGAAGAAGTGGGAGGATGTCAGAACAACGGTCTTAAAATGGCATCCAAACCAAGTTGAGGTTAATAGACCTAGGGATCTCTACAATTACAATGCTATTAATTACTTCTGAAAAATCATGAATAAGGCAGAAAAGCAATCGACATTGGACAGATTCTTTAACCCCACAAACAGAAAAAACATGACTAATAAAAATGCAAGACCGTGTATATATGTATTTTTATTATTACATATGAATAAACATAGTAAGAAAGTACATACTTTTTTATTTTTGAAGGGTCTCCAGAACGAATTAATCAAATTCCCATAGAAACCTATGGTAAATCAATAATCAGTTAACAAACAATTTGGATAGCAAACAAAGTCTTGGAACGGATTATATTTGTTAACCGATCACCCACTGTATTTGATAAAGTTAATTATTAAAAAAAATTTGTGAAAACCTAATGACTGACCTAAGCATAAAATTCAATATAGATAAATTACCAATATATATTTTAATATTTCATATTCTACAGAATGAAAAATATCAAAATTTTTTTGTAACTTTTCAGAATAGTTATAATAATACTACTACATTTAAATAGTTGGATACTATGACTTCTTTGCAATTTTAAAAAATGATATAAAATTTTTCCTAATTGCTCCAAACAATATCAGTAATTGTGTGTTTATTTTTATCAATATAATATAAAATATAAGATTATTTCTGACTTTAAAATGGCTACAATGATTTAATTTATTTAATAAAACAAGAAATTCTTAATATTAAAAACTGATTAAAATATATCAAATTTATTTTATATATTTTCATTAAGTTTAAAAAACCTGTATGATTATTATAAAAAATTGATAAAGTAACTACACAAAGCTAATGATGTAAATTATAATTTCATATATTGGAATGTAAAATATACACCAAGAACTTTAATTTTTGGAAAAATTATACAATGAAGTCAACAATTTATTCTTAGTGTACTGTACATAAATTAACAGTCATAACGGCAATATGGTATCTATCACTATTACAGTTTTTTAAAATAGTTTATGATAAAAATGATTATAAAAAAATTACACTAATACATTATTTATTATTTTTATTAAATAAAATAATTATATTATTAAATAAATTTAATATCATTAAAATGTTGCTGAGCTGATATAAATCATTAAATAAATGTATATATACATAACTGGGAAAAGAAAGATAGTGAGAGTTTATAAAATTTTTATTATGATAGTGTTATACTTCCAAGATGATATCTTTATCTTAAATTCTGGGAGAACTTTTCTAGTTTTGTGAAATCTCTAAATTAAAATGATTTTTATGGCATATCTTTATATATTATTTCTTCAAAAATATTCCTGTGAATTTTCTGTACTTAAATTGATTAAATTTTCATCCTTTACTTAATTTAAACAACATGTATCTTTTCTTTTGTATTGGTTTTTCAATTTCTAGATTTTGAAGATAATTCCTAAATTTTTGGAATATTTGTAAATCATTTACATTCAAATATCTTGTGAAAGAGTATCTCTCATTTCAAAAAAATCTCAGAATTTTTATATATCATATTTGCAAAACACTATAATTGTATACCAAGAAATATTGTAAAGCACACCAACCCTTACAATTAAGAAAGTATAACTGTCTTTTTGTTAACAAATATTTATATTTGATAACAAAATTAAATTTAAATAATTTTATTTTTATGTGCTTTAAATTAATTCAAATACATTAACACCAAAAGACATCACAATTGCTTTTAAATATAGAAAAACGATGTAAATTATTAGATTACAAAAAATTATTTTAACAAACTAAAATGGGAATCATATAAAGTAATATTTATATTACAAATTATTCTAATAATTATATCTAATAAAAGATATAAAATGAATATTAAACACAAATTTAAAGTATTTAATATCATAAAAAGTTTGGAAAATTATAATAATTTGAAATATGAATGAATTCATACAAATTATGTGAAATTTTATTAATGTAAACTGATAGCAATATGTGTAATTTTATATAAATGAAGTGTTGAATTATATATATATATTGATAATAAGATATAGTTTCTGTTTTCATATTGTGAATTTAATTACTTATATAAATTTGTATTTGTAAATGAATACATATTTGATATTTAAAACTTTTTCTTTTTACTTACCAAGCAGTTTGATGTAATATTCTATTTACTGCAGCTTGCTGATCATTTTTTTGACCATGTGGATTTTTATCATGAATATCTTGCTCAATACTAGAAAAATTGAATTATGGAAATAAAATATATAATTAAATAAAAATAACATGCTTTGGTGACTGTTTAAAACACTTAACTATTAAAAATGCAAACAATTTCTTTTTCAATAAACAAACATCCAAAGTAAAACAAGTTTTAATGTATACACCAAATTCCCACCACAGAAAACAAATCAGCATAACATTTGCTTAAAACTATTTGAATGGTAAATAATTTAAAGCAATAATAAAATAAAACTATTAATCTTAAATAAGAAAAAATAAATAATTTTCCGTAATTTTTTTTTAAGATTTTGTGTGGAATCTTCAGATATTTTAATTCAACTCTAGCCAAATTCAGTGCAAATATATATATGTTGAGCTTGTAATTAAATCATGAAAATGTAGTATTATATTTATTTTGGAGACATTTATTAAAAAAGACTGGCCTAAGAGTGGATAGAATATTAGCATTACCTGTTTTGTTAATAAATCACAGAAATTCATAATCAGAGAAAAAAGAATTTTTAAATTTTCTTTCTTTGGATGAAAAAATGGTCATATACATTAAATTTTATATTTTGGCATATTTGCTTATTACTAAAACAGCCACTGAATTATTTCATGAATAAGTTATTTATTTTTGTATTTTTTAAAAAATTTAACATTAAATATAACATCATATTTCAGACTCATGAAAAGTAATCAAATTACAATCATATTAAATTGTTTAATATCACGCTTAAAAATATGTTTGAAAATTTTAATGTATACTTCACCAATGTTCCCTCTAAGCTGTGAATGTATCATGTGTATATGAATGCTTACAGATTCTGTAATAATCATATCAAGTTAGTCACTTTTATGTTCTACACTTCCACAAACTGGGAAAGTAAATAAAATAATGAAAACACTAATCTTGTGTTTTTCCCAGCAGGATGGTAAAAAAATTACCACAAAATGAACACTTTCAGTCTGCTTCTAAGACCTGTTTCAGGTTGATGAAAATATATGTATATATGAATATTTTCATCAGTGCATTCCATCTTCAAAAATCAAAGCAATTTCATCAACCTGTAGCAGGTCTTAGAAGTAGACTGAAAGTGTTCATTTTGTGTTAATTTTTTCACCATCCTGCTGGGAGAAACATAAGGTTAGTGTTTTTGTTATTTTAGTTGCTTTCTGTAATCTACAGAAGATAGAGATTTACACTTTATCTAATGAATTAGAATCTTAATTCTGGAGGCATTAGAATTAAAATAATATGTCTTACTAACAAGACTTGACAGTGTGCATTATTGTTATTTGATAAATTTGTCATTATTACAATCTCTTAGAAATCTAATAGGATTAGAGATAATACTATCTTTAAACCTTGCCTTTTCTATTTATATGTAGCAGCTGTGCCTCTCTTTGATTCTTTATCAACAAGTATCTGAACCAGTTACCGGTGTTGGAGAAAAGACCATCATAAACAAAATAAAAATCATAAATGTTTTCGAACCTTACTGATCCTTTATCTTCTCATATTACATTTCTGTACATTTAAAATTTTTCTTCTAACAAAGACAGCTGGGATAGGTCAAAGATCAAGTAAAACTTGTTAATCTTTTATTGTGATAAGTCTTGCCTTTCATATTAAGGTTTCATACAATTGAATTTATTAACTTTTCATTGCATTTCATGTTAAAGCTAGTTCACGTTGTTTACACCATAATTCACAATTTGTCAATGAATATTTAAAAACAAATACTATGCTTCTTCCAATTTTTGTAATTTTGTATATTAGTATCAAACTTGATAATGAATCTTTTTAATTAATTCATTGTTAATTTAATAATAAATAAAATGAAAAGATGAATTTACTAATATGTTAAAAGTTATAAAAGTGATGAAGAAGTCAAAAGAAACAAGTTTATTTAAATTAGAATGGCTTAATGAGGCAGCAGAGTTATATTGAATAAATGAAATGTTCATCTGTAAAAAAATATTTATGTATGACATAAAAACTGATGTATGTTTACATTGACACAATATAAAACAAACTTGATTTTTTAATTAAAGTGCTACCTATCAAGTAATCTTGTTTACATGGTGTACAAACCTTAAATATCAAATCCTTTCATTACTAACAAAAGACTGCTGAATTTATTGCTTGACAATCCAATTGAAACAGTCAGAAAGTTTGTTCCTGTTAAGAAAATCTCTGAGTATAAATGAAAAGCATAAACTTTTTGTGACTACATATAAAATTTTAAAAAATGTAACTAAAATTACAATAGTAAATGAAAGAAGTTAGAAATAAATATAAAAAAGACAGTCAAGTACAAATACACAAATTACTACAAATTCACAACAGAAATGAACAAAAATTATTGTGACAATCATATTTTTAATTTATTTAATTTAAAATACATAATCTGGATCTCAAATTATTAATGTCTTGTCTCTGTACATCATACTTTTCCTGATAACAACAGAGTCATGCCAGTCATCTATGTAACTCCATTCAGGGAAAAATTTTTTAAAATTGAATTCATGTGACTTCCTGTCTGAACCAGAAGTTTGTATATAGTTAATTGGGGCCTCCTGCCCCTAAGTTTTCCACATCTGGTCTTGACTTTAATCTATCTAGCACCATTCTTGAGATCAGAGGACAAAAAGTGAAAATTTATAAGGCTGCAATTTGAAAAAAATTTTAGAACTATAAATTCCCACTGTCATCAGTCTGTCCTTCCTTAATCTCAAGAAAGGTGTTAGATAGAAGGTCAAGACCAAATATGAAAAGTTTAGGAGCAGGAGGCCCAATTAACTATATATGAACATCCAGTGTAGACTGGAAGTCATGTGATTTCAATTCAAAAATTTTCTCCTGAACAGAGTTAGATACATGACCAGCATGACTTCATTGTTAACAGGAAAAATATGATGTACAGGGCAAGACACTACTAAATTTAAATGCTTTATGATAAAAAATTGCAGCCCAGTATTGTGACAATCTCACAATAAATAACTGCTTGTTAAGTATTTTAAATGTTTCATTAAATGTTTAATGTAGCGACTAAGTTATATCTGTACTCTCTATACGATTAAATTAAATTTGATTTATTTGTCAGAAGTGATACATGAATGATATATACTGAAGGTAACACAAAAAACTATAAATACTTAAATTTATATTTACAGTGTATATTCCATTTTGAAAGCTAAAGTTTGTATGTGCAAAAATTTTCTGTTATACAAATTACAAAAAATTAGAGGGAACAATGTAACAATTGTGAAGTACTGTACTGTATTTAAAATATGTATCAAAGCAATATTCTCATTTTTATAAAATGCTGAATAATTTGCAAAAGTAATTAGGAAAAACAAATTATTTCATAGTTCATTTACAAATTATCTATGTATGCATGTATGCAAAAACTACATTAAAAAATGCTTGTATCATTTATTTTGTGTATTCATCATTTCTACTTACAAGTTAGATCTAGATCAAGAACATTCACCTCATCTTAAAGACAATTTTTTATTTGTATATTCAATATGATGTCTTTCAACTTTATCTTTTTTCTGATTTATTACTTATGAATATTTCTTAAATCGAAAAGTATTTATCTTGACCAGAACCTTATATTGTGTTTTTTTAACTAAAATTTCAGATAATTATTTGTAATACTGTACTAAGAAGTCTTAAAACTAAAATGCTTGTTTTTGAATTTGTTTGTTACTTTAAAACATCCTTAATATTAATGTTATCATTACATTATTTTATGTTTTAAATGAATTCCTTGATCCTTAGAAATAACAATTTTAATAGCTTTAATATAATATTAACACAATTTCTATTATGAAAACTATTCTAAAGTTTTTATTTATTTATATATAAGTAACATGAATAAAATACAGTAATACCTCGACTTACGCAAACCAGGAGTTATGCGATTTTGAAATCTCGTCGATTCGTCTTTAGTTTGAGTGCCATGCAACTCTTGATTACTCACTCCCCCCACACTATTGTTCAGCTTACATGTTCGGATGTGTCGTGCGGAATTGACACATAGCTACACTTTATTTTGTGTTATTTGTTTCTGTGTTTTTTATATCTACAGAGACTTGAGAGACTGTGTGGTGATTTCTTGTAACCGTGAACAAATCAAAAGACGAGATAAGGTTAACGAGAACATTTATTAGCTTACATACATCTGACTTGGATTTTACACAAATTGCAAAATTATACCCCAACTTACGCGGTTATCGCTCGGTCCCACCTATCATGTAAGTTCAGGGTATTACTGTACATTCAAATATTCCTAAATTCATTATATAAGGAATTTAAAGAAATTGATAATGAATAACATTTGACATTTGAATGTATTTTACTTATGTTATTTAAACATACATGAAAATGCTTTTCAAGCTTGCAAAAATTAAGGGACGATTTCTACTAAGCTATACCCCATTATCTGAATTTCTGCTACAATCTAAATATATAAAATTACTTGTCCTGACTGACTGAATGACTGATTCATCATCATACAGAGCAAACCGCTGAACCTAAAGAGGTGAAATTTGGTACACAGTTATAGTATGTCATGAAAACGCACACTAAGAAGGGATTTTTCAAATTCCCTGTGGGGGGAGAGAGAGAGGATTAAGGCCTAACTGGAAGAACGGCTTCTACTGTACTATTTTAGATGCGATTTTTCGTTTTCAACTACGTTTAGTCTTCATTGAGTACTTAGGTGTATTAAATTGATAACATTTCAGACATTGTTATAAATATTTTTATCTATTTCAATTTTAAAAATGTTTGAACCGTTTTAAATTTGAATTTGTTATTGCATATTGGTTCAATTATAGAACGATTGTAAATGTTCCAGAAAATTGATCAAATTGAAAATAGTTCGTTTGATTCTCGGCAATTCTCACCATTCTCAGTGGTAGGTGGTATATAACAATTACTATGGTTGTTGAAATACTGAATATAAATGGGGTTTGCTTGCAAAATCCTCGCAGGCA